ACACAAAAAATAATCTTGACTTATCGCATAGTAATAAATTATTAATACCAAAAATGTATTTCTGTTTTTTCTTTTTACACATTTTGTTAAAAGGCAAAAAAAGGACTTTAAACCAAAAAAAAGAAATTCTCTGTTTTGTTTTATTCTTGGATCGGGCTTTAAAGGGTTAAATTAATAAATAAATGTTAAATCTATTTTTTTTATGGTACATTTATTTATTTGATGGGACATTTACATGATTGTATTTGTCCCTCCACCTAACTTCATATTACATTATTAGATCATTGGTAAGACCATTTTGCGACCTACAATTGGTGTGGAACGACCCCCACTTTGTGTACGCCGGTGCTACACTATGTGTGTATTTTTATGTCACAAAGTAGCCATGAAAAACATTGAAGTTTGTGGTAGTAATGGGACAAAATATGAAAGGGTTTATGAGTCTTTAGGCACTATAATTAACTATAGATCTCTTTTTTTGTATTTATGCATTCGTTTCTTTTACTTTTGTACTTAAGCTGTGATTTAAGGTCTCTGTTTTTATTACATTGATTGTTTTACTGACTCTTGAACTTTAAAGATTCTCTGTAAATCCAAACTGTGCCGTGAATAAAACCCATCGTTGTCTAAACTTATTCTAACAGAGAAACCACATGACATGGACATCATGTCTCCTTCTACCAAGGAGACAAAAGACAAAAGGAAACGTCCAATGTCCCAGATCAGTGGCGTAAAGAAGGCCACCCACAGCCTGGTCCCTTCCACCATTCCTCGCTTCGGGGTCAACGCCAGCCAGGAGGATCTTCTGGCAAAGGTAGCCTTATAAGTTCATCACTAATTTTTATTTTTTTATAAAGTAGGGAGGATTTGGACCTAGAGATTATAAGTGATTCATTAAAATCTATCTTTATTTTCTGGCAGGAGCTGGAGGACATTGACAGATGGGGTGTCGACATCTTCAAGGTTGCAGACTACTCTGGAAATCGCCCGCTGACCGTCACAATGTACACAATCTTTCAGGTAGGACACTGGAACCAAATTATTGGTAAAAATTTAAATTTAAAGTGTAGAATTTTTTCCATAGGTGAGAAAAGTCCAAGTCATTTATTAATTTGTGCGTTAAAGATGTCTTTACACCATGTCAGACTTTGTGACTGAAAGCAATGCTTACAGAATAGTGGGAGTGGTGGCCTAGTGGGTAGGACATAGAGGTTGGAATCCTGAGGTTGTGAGTTCGAAACCCGCTGCCACAGACTGCCGCTCTGGCTTTCTGAGGAAGACCCTAAAAAAAAAAATTAACCATTATTGATCTCTTATTAAAGAAATTTATCTCTGCATTTAACCCATCCCCTTGTGGAGCAGTGGGCTGCCATTGTGCGGCACCCGGGGAGCAATGTGGGGTTAAGGGTCTTGCTCAGGGACCCAGAATGGCAGTCTGGGGATCGAACTCCCACTCTCAGGATTTTAAGCCCTATGCCCTAACCACTAGGCCGACACTTCCCTTCCCTTAACCCCACACTGCCCCCCCGCACAATGCAGCCCACTTGCTCCCCAATGGGATGGGTTAAATGAGAGTGAATTTGATAAAAAACATTAAAAAATAAAAAACACTAGCAAAAAAAAACAAAAACGTGTAGCAAAGGAATGAATATGCAAAATGGCGTTAGGTGAGCAAATGAGCATAACTGGTGGTGATCTGACTGTCTGACCAGCATACTCATAGTCAATTAAAATGCATTGATCTATTCAGTTTTGTACGAAAAATAGACTTTAATCTACCTCAATGGGTATGTCCCCCCCCAAAAAAACTAATTAAGATCATCATACGCTTAAAAAAACACCAAAAAGTAAATAGTTAAATTGTTTTTTGCACATGACTGAAGGGATACACGTGCATTGGTGTAGTCTAAAGTGAATTGTTCGTACAAAATTAAAGAGATAAACAGGTTTTGACTATGGATGTTTGGTCTGACCGGGTATTCTCATCTGACAGAACACCTGCATGTGGGACAAACATTGTCCAAAATAGCTTCTAAGAGAGTTATGGGACGGTTGACTAACTAAATTAAACATCTACTCAAGTTTTGGATGAGATGAGAAATGCTTTTTTTTTTATCCCACAGTGAGAAAGTTCTGGTGAAATTTGGCAAAACCAGAAGGCAGAAGACAAAATTTACACTCAATAATTAATGATATAATGAAAAAAAAAATGTAAAAGATCCATCACCCAGAAATCAGTTTTCTTCAGGTTAAAAAATGTGTTTAAAAACCCAAATTCAGTTTGAAAGTTGTTTTTTTCTTCTTTTCTTTAATGTGGGCTTTTTGTTCAAGCCAGAAAACCAAAGTTTCTACAGACTTTTATTTTGGTGATGATTTCACTCATAGGAAGGTGTTAACATTACCCCGTCCTGCTATCACCACTCCTGTCTCTATTCCACCAGAATGGATGATTCCAACGATCAGCGACTCACCTGTTGGAAGTCGCTAAACGTTGCCGCTTGTGTAACTTTTTAGCTGTTGTCTAAGAGACCAGGAAATGATGGTAAACGAACCGTGGCTAACTGCCAAAGCTGCTACGGCAACATTCACAATGACTGTGCATACACTCAATTCAAACTCCCATGTTTATAAAAAGAATCCGGTTAAGCTCTATTCATTTATTTTCTCCTAAAGATTTAAATAAACATGAATTTAGAGACAATTTATTTTTCTTTCGGCTTTTTTGTTGTCATTACACTGTCACAAGTACAGAGCAACAAAATGAGCTCTCTACATTTGACCCCTTGGGGAGCAATGTGGGGTTAAGGGTCTTGCTCAGGGACCCAGAGTGGCAGTCTGTGGGAGTGGATCTTGAACTCAGAACTTCAGGATTACAAGCTCTATGCCCTAACAACTAGGCTGCCACTCCCCCAAGATTTCAAACGTGTTGCTACAGTAGTAGCCATTCAAAATGTCCCCACTTTCCTTGAAGGGCCCATGGCTGGTCCCCTACAATTCATTTTTAAACATCAATATTTG